AACCATAGACGTTTCAGTTGTATAAGGTTAAAGACTACAAAATGTGATGAACATTTTATCGAATCAGTTTTTAGAAAAGAGAAAACGTGACAAAAATTCATATACTGGAAACATATCGATATTGCGAATTAAAAAAGTTCAATTTGAAGAATTTAGGATTTTTGTTGTTTTTATTTTTAATTTACATAATATGTCCGACGGTGAAACCGTTAGGGCGAGCGCAGTTTATTCTCTAAAACTCTACACATCTTCTCAAATGTCGTTTTACATTCTGCTTATTACACTTTTATCGCGCGTTTACTGTGTATCGTACATAATTTTTTTTAAACCGTTATTGAAGTATATATTCTCTAACGTTGCAGACTCCCCAAGCATCGGGATCGAAATTCCTAACTTCTCGGATATTTCCGACAAAATCGGAAATACCGAGTCGTTGAAGTGACGAAAATATGACGTCACATACAAAATCGTGTGTACCAAGGACGCAAACGATAGTTTTGTGGGCAATTATGGCATGGAAATTGAATTAAATCGTTGTTTATAAATCGTTGTTTATTATTTTTATCAAGTAAGTTGTTGCTATGCTTAAGCCACCATTTTGCTATGCACCGAAAAGGATTATTGGGAGTATGGAATATTTTCACGTGGGACGGTAAAAATTTCTTTGAACAATGTCCAGATTTCAACCCGAATTTTCTCCGTTCGTACACGTTGTCTATGGAGCTCGCTATGAGAGCAAATTTGCATATCTTAAAATAGAAGCTCCTGGTTTCTCGATGTGACTCTGCGCTAAAATACTAAGCCCAAATTAGCATATGTTTTTGAATTAAAGAAGATTCTCGAAAATATTAACAATAGAAAACATTATCGTATCCTATCTTCATTTGGATATTTATTTCGACGCCAGCGTATAAAGTTGACGTCACAATTTTAGCTCACCTTCATTAATTTGGGAGAACTCTTGTAATATCGTCGGTGTTCAAGGTAAACATTTTTGAAGTAGATTCAAATGCTGCATTTTCAGCTAAAGAATGCCCAGGCATGTAAATGTTTTTAAAGCAGGTTTAAGTTTCTGTAGCAGAGCAGCTATAAACACTTGTTGACCAACCTGCATCATGATGCATCATCTTTGGAAGCACACCAGCAGACTTGCTTCAGATGCTGGATCTGACCTACATTTTCTTAATGAGTGCGCAGGTTAAAGATTTTGTAACTATAAGCCCTATCATGACCAAACTTGCACCGATGATGCATCTAGGATTGCACAGTTCCAGACTTGGTTCAGATGCTGAATCTTCCTGAATCTGCTGAATCTTCCTTACTGAATCTTCCTTACTTTTTCTGACTGGCTGAACAAAAAATAAGTTTTCTATAACGTTATTTATCATGCATAGTTATTTTAGACTTTCTTGTAAATAGAAATTCACGCTACAACATGCTAGAGAGGCGCCCATATATCGTCCTGTGGTTAATATATCCTGTAGGGAGCGTGAATAGTTTTAAGTCAGGATGTTGAGGCGCATATTTCTGTAGAATGAAGAATTAAACACATGTCTTTGGGATTTACACATGTATTTCGAACTGCGGCTCTGGTCAAGCAAATCATATATAATGAATTCTAAAACTCTTTAAATGAGAAGTAACTAGCGTTGGTGAAGCAATTAAGCAAGTTAAGTATTTATGGAGAGTTTGGAAGCTAGAGGAAATAAGTCAGGGCTGGGATTCTCTCAGTTATGCTGTAAACATAACGCAGATCTTATGTTGGTAAATACTTCTAACTTTCACAATGAAAAGGATATTCTCAATGTATTTTAGGCTTTTCCATCATTTGGCTATTCACATAACGTATCATGATATTAAAATATCTTGAAAGCATTTATTTTTTAATAGTACCGATTTTTTTATTTCAAAACATTTTTTTTTTTTTAATTAAATTTGATGATATTAAGCTAAGGTATATTTTCATAAAACATGTACGTAGTTCTATAACCTCATTGATGAAAATATATTGCATATACCTGTAGATGAACGTTTAACGTTTACCTAGTTTCTCATGTCTACATATCTTTTCATTTACATTTTTCGTATGAGAAAATGTTATATATTGATTATAAAGTTTATGTATAAACTGACGATTAATTATGATTTTTTAACTTTGTGTATATGTTTACATTTTTTAATAAGTTGAATTCATCCTCATTTAAAGAAAAGAAATATTTAACACACCAGATAAATATCGCAACTTAAAAAAACATTCGTATAAAATAAATACCATTTTCTGTAAAGAAAAAATGTTTAAATTGGTTAATATATGTCTTTATTAATATTTATCCTATTTCGTTTACGATTTTTACGATTTTTGACGGTTAAAAAATCCATTTCCCCCCCCCCCCCCTATAAAAATTCTACTCCAAAAATATACGAAAGGGAGTATACTGAAATTTCCAATTATCACGTGACCGGAAAATGCGGAACATAAATCATTTTCATATTTTTAGAAAGATAAGAAGTTTTTCTACAAAATATTAGAATTTCATAATGTTTTGTGAGGGGCCGAAAAACGGCCTTATCGAAACTCCCCTTTGTCAGTTGACCCCAAATATGATCTATACATGGTGTTTCTACATGACATGCAAAATATCAGCCAAATCTGTGATGTACCATTTCCAACTTTTCCCTAAATTCTTTTATGCTTACAGAGAATGTAATTTTATGCCAATGCCTACCGTGACACCGGACTTCGGTTTTAAAGGTCTCATCCGAAAGGCCCGTGACTTTCACCTAGAGTGCCGGGCGCTATGAGAAAGAACAGTCACTACATATATTTACGTTTGACGTGACCAGGCGAAAGAGAATAGAACCCGGACTTCACGATCATGAAGCGAATCCCCACAACTAGGCAACCGTAACCGGGTCTTAAGAATTTGTAATGTAAGAACATAAGAAAAAAAGCATGTTTAAATCTGTTTTGGATGCTCTTTCGATCGAAAACATAGGTGGATAACAACGAATTCACTGTTTTTTTTAATAAAGATATAAATTTATATATATATATATATATATATATATATATATATATATATATATATATATATATATATATATATATATATATATATATATATATATATATATATATATATATATATATATATTTATATGGCCGATATTAGTTTAATTAAGTAGCGTAAAAAAATTAATAATTAAAGAATACTTTTTAAATAGAAATTTAGAATAAAAGATTGTTTAAAAGATAAAAAGAAAGAGATTTAAAATTTGACATCATTTAATCATTTTTGGCTACCCAAAATGCGTTCTTGTGATAGTTAGACAAAATTAATTATACATATTAAAATTCACAAATAAAGGTGAAAGTTGCCTTGCCTTGCTTTAATGGAAATTGCAGATATATGGTAGACTACCCGCCCATTTTTATGTAGTATGGAAAAGCAAGTAGCAAACAATTGAGATGCGACGGACATCATAGTCTTGACTGAGTACGTGGGACCTTCAAAATTCCAAATGCCTCTTGCGGCTTGATTAATAGTGAATCTAAGTTAAAAGTGTATAACACTTACACTTGATGTCATGTAAATATATACAAGTATCTGCCTTTGTAAAGATAAAAATTCCAATACAATTTCCAAAAACACTTTTATCTTTTTGAAGCCTACTTTCTTTTTCTGTAATCTTGAAAAAAGTCTAGCGATATCTTCCTTCTTCCCCGTCTCACGCTATACCAAGCAAAGTCATTTCAATCCACAATGCAGCCACCAGACAGGTAAAGTTTTAATATCGTGTGAAAATATATTCTAATAGTATTTTTGAAAGACATTCTCAATCTTAAAAACTGCGTTGAAAAAAAAAACAATACTTAGAGCATCTTTCATGGAATTTGTAATTTTAAAGAACGTCATTTTAAAAGATTAAGGAATTTAGCTAAACTTCGTTTGATAATTTTTGGTGTTTGTCCGTTTTATTGTCTTTTTTCCAATTGAAACTAATTTTGTAAAGTCAATAATTAGAGATTGTTTAATAAAACGGGGGAGAGTCCAGATTCTACGGAAGCCCGTTGAGGCCAATTCAGAGAAAGAAATATTTTTTATTGCGTTTAAACGCAATAATTATTGCGTTTAATCGCAAAACATTGCGTTTAATCGCAATAATCATTGCGTTTAAACGCAAAAGATTGCGTTTAATCGCAATAATCATTGCGTTTAAACGCAAAACACTTTGCGTTTAATCGCAAAAGATTGCGATTAAACGCAATCTTTTGCGTTTAAACGCAATACTTTTGCGATTAAGCGCAATAATTTTTGCGTTTAATCGCAATAATATTTTTGCGTTTAAACGCAATAATTTTTGCGTTTAAACGCAATAATTTTTGCGTTTAAACGCAATGATTTTGCGATTAAACGCAATAATTTTGCGTTTAAACGCAATAATTTTGCGATTAAACGCAATAATTTTTGCGTTTAAACGCAATACTTTTGCGATTAAACGCAATAAGTATTGCGATTAAACGCAATAAGTATTGCGTTTAAACGCAATAACTTTAATATTTAATCAATAATGATTCTTATATTATTTGTTAAGTCGAAGCGTTTGATGCAAGACCAAACTTTCTATGTAGCAATGGACACACAGAAACTGATCTACTTTTATTTCTCAATTGGATTAACTTATCATGAAATAGTGTGTTGCTTAGCTTTACAGCACCATATTTTTCTGAGTGAACGTACATTGAAAAGAAGACTTGCTGCTATGAATTTGTACAGGAGAAAAAACATGTCTTCCATAATCAGTGTTTCTGACTTTCTCTCAAAATTAATTGAAAAGGATGGTATGCAGAGTGGGTATCGATGGATGTTCCAACGATGTTTGCTAGCTGGATTCAGAGTATCTAGAATGACAGTAGCAGGGCTTCTCTCTATTCTTGATCCAGAGGGGGTGGAACTGAGAAAACGGAAAAGACTTCGTCGAAGGGAGTATTATGCCAAAGGACCTAATTACTTGTGGCATGTCGATTCGTACGATAAATTAAAAAATTATGGGATTTGCATTAACGGTTGCATTGATGGCTACTCCAGGAAAATTATATGGTGTGAAGTAACTTTTTCAAGTAGCGATCCTCGTATAATAGCTGGACATTTTATAACATCTATAGAAAAACTTAGAGCATGTCCAAAAAAAGTAAGAGGGGATCGTGGAACAGAGAATAAGAATATTGCAGAGATGCAAAGTGTTCTTACGGACCAAAGTACGTTTATTTATGGACCAAGTACAGGTAACCAAAGAATAGAGGCATTTTGGCGACATTTGCGGATGGAATGCTGTCAATTTTGGATTGAGTTTTTTGGACACTTAAGAGACATTGGGAAATACACAGGTGACATCATAGATAAAAATCTTGTCCAGTTGGTTTTCATGGAATTTGTGCAGGTACATGTACTTAAGTTTACATTTGATAAAAGAGAGACTGAGCGCAAACAAAACATACTCCGTCCGTTTGTTTATCACGGTTTTGTTTTCTTGATAGCCACTGTCCTTTTTTAACCATTGTACTAACTAATCAGAGCTTCATTCAGCTATTTATTCGTATCATGTCATTTTATTAAATACATCCTTTTTCGGGGGGTGGGTGTAAAATTTTCATGATAAATAGATCGTGCGGACTTCAGTAAAGTTGTGGTTCATATTTACCTGTATACATGTATATGCAACTAAATTTATAACCAGAAGAAAATGTTATTTACTATCTTTTGTTGGCTCGGTACGTTGTATAAGTAAAGGAAGTTTTTTTTTTTAATTTCTTGAAAACCTTTGCAAATTCAATTTACTCATTCGACAGGAGGATTTATTAGTTTTGAAACTGAGAACTAACATCATCGAAATATAAATATATAAGGGAAATGCCTTGCATATTCCAAACTCTTTATCAAATTATCTTAATTTTGTATACTTTTTATTCACATCTAGAAAGATATAGATGAAGCAGTATCTGTCTGGAATACTCATCGGATTCGTCCAACTAGAAATGGAAACGTCCCAGCAGGCAAACCTTGTATTCTTTATTGTCTACCAGAATTAGAAGGTACTAGAGATTATTCGATACCACTAGATCAACATGTTCTCGAGATCTGCAGAAACGAATGCTCATTTAACAAGAACACCCCATCTGACCCCGACATGCATGAATTTTTCAAAATCTTGATGGAAGAGAACTACATAGCGTCGCCTAACTGTCTGGAAGATGCCTGTAATTTGTATGTAACTCTTCGTAACCTGGCAAATCGTGAAATATATCATTTATAGACTTTTGCAGAGGCAACAAAACTTTACCGGTTGTTTCAGTAAAGAATTATTTGCCTTATTTACAAAATGTTGTGTTATTTTCAATCAGTAAATAACGCTATTGACTCGGTATATGTATCAACAACAAAAATGCTGTAATTTGTCAATTGATTTTTATTTCACGAGTGAAAATAAAATCTGAAACAAATGAATGTATGTCAAATCCACTGTGCCGCAGTGGCAAAAAATATTACAGATTTTATTATCTATGAAGGGATGTAGTATCAGAAGCATTTTTTGACAAACAATTGCTTTTTACTATTTAAAAATGTTCATTGAAAGAGTGATCCCCACTGTTTTTGTTGCATCCTAGTCAAAGCATAATGTTGTGATAATGTATGAATAATAATTTGGTCATAAAAAAGGTGTGAACCCCCCTTCCCACCCTAATACACAGGAAATAGCTTTTTCCATATTCAATATCCCCCTGTTTTAGATTAGAGGAAATTTTCTTCTCTGACAGCCCCCCCCCCCTTCACTTTCAAAAGTGTCCATATACATAATTCTAAATGTAACAACCCAATAACTTTGTTTCAAGAAAATAACAAATCCTTTGGACAGTAAACTTGAGTAACGTATGAACTTTCAATGTTTCTCTATTAGCATGTTGTGCAACAGGCATAAATTTTTGTGCCAATAATCTTTGGTAAGGCTATGACATTCCCACAGCTCCCGAGAATTTTTTTCTGTTTAAATATTTGGACAAAAGCAATCTTTGAGTCAGTTAGGAGCTTAACGTACCCCATTTATATTTTAAAGTTATACTCAGGACATGATTGTACGGAGAGCCGATCAATCTAATAAAATGATCCCCATTTCCGCCTCCCATGAACTAAGTTTGCGGGGGGTGCATAATAATAAACAGCTAAATACAGATACCAGCAGAAAGAGGACCCAATAATATCAAACACTGAAAATTCAATTTTTGTTGTTGGATATGGTCTTTACCTCGATCAGGGGTGAGGGGGGATTTTAAAGGATATTTTACGAGTATCAAGCACATAGCGCATTTGATACGTCTTTTAATGAACATAAGACTACTATGTCCTCATGAAATTTCTATATCCTTCATTACAATAATCATAATCATCCTAAAAAGACAAAATGTGCATTGGGGGTAAGAGCAGCCTGAGACTGCTGCCGGGAGACAATATGAACATGTATATATGTATGTTACAAATGACGCACAACTTACGTATACATGTATTAAAAAATAACAATATAATTAAGAGACACTTAGAACTGCAGGCACGTACTATCATGGTGGGCTACCCCCCCCCCCCCCCCCCACCGACCTATTCCCAAACAAAACATTTTTTTCTACAGAAAATGTTCATTAAAGGGTTGGTCCCTCTCCAATTTATGTTGTAGCGTAGTAAAATCATGGTAATTTGATAATGTATTAAAAAACTGAGTTGTGAAAGAAAGTTGGAACCTACCCCCCCCCCCCCACACACACACACTAAATAGGTTTTCGAGTTTGGAGACATTTTTCATTTGTTTGCCCGTCAAAGTTTTTTTTTTTCAGGTTTATTGTCATTTTTTCCTAGCTGACACCAATCTTCAAAAACTATACTATGTTTGACAACTTTAATTTAAATTAAGCATTAGAATTTATTAACAGGGGTTTCCCTTTTGTTTTGTTTATAAGCGTTGTGGATTTTCTATTACAAGTAATCTTTAAAGAGAAAAGTTTTTTTGTTCCACGACAAATGTTCCAATGCAGGCGCGGAAAAGGGTATTCCCTTTTGGTTGAGGGTTAGGAATTCATATCTACTCAAAACATCCAACTCAGAATTTTTTGACAGGCAAAAAGGATTTAACATGTCCAAACTAAAAAAAAAACCATTGGGGGGGGGGGGAGGGAGTAGCTTTGCTTTATCATACATTTAACTCTCCTTACCATTTCCACCAGGAGCCATGTTTTCTAAGGAGGGTCGCAAACTCGTTTTTCGTACTTTTACTTTGTAAATTAAATAACTCTTAAAATCAAAGGGGGAACTGTCAGGACCCCCTTCCCCTGAATGAATCTTCAGTGTGCAGCTACATGATGGCTAAGCGCTGTACATAATCGGAATAGAGCAAATGGTTTTGTGAGCAGTAAAAATACCACACCTGTAAGTCTAGAAGTATTAAAATTCGGGAGAAGGGCAGTACCCTGGCCTCCATCATACTTTTTTGGCAGAGGATTAGTAAAACATCTGTAGAAGGGTCATTTCGTTAAAGATTAAAAATTACACTGTTGAAATGCAAAGAACTAACAGAGTCTACATGCGTCAGAATGTACACACTAGAATGTGTAGGGTAGACTCGCATTCATTCAAACACATTTCCTTCATTTTCTATTTGTTAGATTACATACAGTCCTTTCATAATCTAATTATGTAGCGTCATAATTGGGATGGGTAAAACTAATAAATACCAATTAATGCATGAAAAGGAAGATCGACAGACAAGAAATACAGTTACAATTTTTATATTTCTTTAATGAACACCAAATTTACGGTAGAGGTAAAGCTTAAAACAGATAACTTTTATTTTTGGCAAATAAAGATGAACCAATAGAGAGAAAAACATATGTTTAAAATTCTAAATTGTTAACAAACAATGGCCACAACACTGTACTTCGGCAACTGATACGACTTTTTCCCCACAGACTATTTGTCTACTCATTATAACATGCATTAAGATTCAAATATTCAGAATTTCTTACATTATCTATATGTTTGAATTTAACTTAAAAAAAAGGTAGAATGGGGAGGTCAACAGTATCAAAATCTGTCATTTAAAAAAAAAAATCGATGTTCACGACTCATTTACATTATTTCTCAGATAAGGTATAGCACATTTACACAATATCCATTCTCAGTACTTTTGTGTCTAGCACGTTTTCCAAGTGCTCCCTCAATAACAGAAAGTTGTCGTAACTTCTGGACAGCTCCAACACACAGCCACATGTGTGGGCCACTGGACAAAGTGTAAATTCAGGCATAGGGGGTGTAAATCGAACAGTAATTAAGGTCTTCCGTCTCCAACGGAAGACCTTATTGTTTTCGTTCGGTTTCTTTTTCCCTATTATTAAGGTCTTCCGTCTCCAACGGAAGACCTTATTGTTTTCGTTCGGTTTCTTTTTCCCTATTATTAAGGTCTTCCGTCTTCACGGAAGACCTTATAGTGATTCTACTGTTTCTTATTATTATTATTATTATTTTTTTTTTTTTCCCCAAAATTTTGTGCAGGCGATTTCTCGAAAACTATTCAGTGGTTTTAAATGAAACTTTCAGGAATTATGCGTCGTCAAATGGACTTTGTTCATCAGAAGGAAAATTTGGAAAACTCGCTTCCGGTGCCAAGTTATTGACAGTTTTCTGATTTTAAAATGAAATTTTGTCCCCCCTTTTCTTCAAAAATGGTTTAAGATATGAACTGGAGACTTGTTAGAGATGATAGGTTATGTCTTCTAAATGAGGGGAATCACCTTTTTGTGCGTCGTCAGTACTTCCGGTCGTTACCGGATGCGAATTTAAAAAAGTCGAATTTTTAAACTTTTTTGTTTTTCTATATTTTTCTTTTATTTTAATAAGGTTAATAGAGGCTCTTCTGAAAATGCTTAATATATAATTTATTTTAGAATTGATCAATCCAAACTCTACATATTCGCATTTCTAAATTTGAAGCGGGTCCAAAATGGCGGCTGTCGCCGTAAACTCCAATAAGTAGGTCAGAATTTACGGAGTAAGCCGAGCGTTTGTTTGAATGAAAGTACCATAAGGATCAAAGAAATGTGAAGGAATTGTTGGATTGTCACATCACTATTACATTGCAATTCTGTTTTGAACTAGAGTTTTAATCCGGGGTTTCCTCAGACGTCTACAATAATTGTTCTTGTCTGTATCTCAAAGTAGAAAAACGACATGACTACAAGTGGAAATACGATAACTACAACGTTTTGTTTTACACCATGGAAAAACTGATCCTAAACCATGGTAATAAGTAATAGCTTTTCAAGAAACTTGCCTTACTAAAGCAATCAATATATAGTAATTATTACGTGGCCATTGTTTTTTTTCCCCCATGCAGGCTTGTGTCATATTAAATGAACAGAAAAGACAAAAATAAGAAAACCATTTTTTTTTAAAGATTGTTTAATGAAGTTGATATAATTTTTTTTTCTAAAAGATGTTGTTATTGAACATAAATGGTATCAGATTCCTAGACCGTCGCAGGAAGAGACATGTTTTTGGGCGAAACATTCCAGTCTTTTCATGAATGTGTAACTAATCGTGATAGTCCACTTTGGGGGTAAACAGGAAAATAAAACTTCTTACCTAAATCACTGCTTTAGTGTTACTTATCCATGCGATATATGATAAGTACAATATGATAAATATACTTTCTCAAGCTCGATATTCAGGTTATAAGAAGATACATTTTGAAATTTCATTGAAGGAATCACCATTCAATAGAAAATACATTCCAAAGGATATGCGCGAATATTTACCCGTGACGTTTCATGCGAAATAATGTATCGTGATCAACCTTTCGTAGTAGACAAATGGTCTGATGCAGAAGTATATAGAAGTGCAGAAAAAGATTACATGACATGCCTGTATATGGAATTACATGAAATAAAAAGTTGAATACATAAAGAATAAAAGAAAGTATACTGTATCATCAGATAATGGCTAAAGATATGAATATGAAACTTGCTGAGGTGATAGAGCATCAAATGTAGATATATTGATTGACCATTAATTTTCGTCGTTCTTACTTCCGGTCGCAAACGGGAGTGAATTCAACAATGTTAAATTTGCAACTTTTTTGTTTTTCAATATTTTTCTCTGGATTTAAAGGGTTAATAGAGAGTCTTCTAGGAGTTTTATGTATGTTTTCATCTTTTTGATTGAAAAAGTTTGCAGAGATTTTTATAAAATTCACTTCCGGTCGACTGTTTATCTGTCCTCAAAATTAGAATT